TTTTTTTTTTGCATTCTGGGGATGTGTAAGAGAAAGGGACAGAAAATTGCAGCCAGATTTCAAAAGGTCTGAAAGGGCTCCTTCGGTGGCAGGAAGGAGCGCAGGACCACGTGGTAGGAGGCTAGACTCTGGTCCCTCCTCTTAAGCTGGAAGCCCAGGAGTCATCCACTGCTGCTGCTTTGTCTTCAACCAGCATATTCTAATCCAAAAGCAAACACTGTTCATTCTACCTCCAGCATTATCTTAAGTCTAAGTGACTTTGCTCCATTTCTTCTGTTAGCACACTATCCACGTGCTCATCAGCAGTATAGACAGTGCACCCCGAGGGGAGAGAGTAAAATGGTCCAGCACATGGGACTCTGGAGTTAGACTGCCTGGATTTGAATCCTTAAACCCCTGCCCTGCCATGCAGTAGCTGTGTGCCCTTGGGCAAGTGACTTCACCTCTCTGGGCCCGGGTTCCTCCCCTGTAAAATGAGGGGGAAATACTACTTCCCGGACTTGTTGTGAGGATCAGATGGGTTGGACAACATGAAGTCCTTGGAACAGTGTCTGGGATACATAAAGAACAGTGTGTGTTAGCCGTGAGTGTAACCGTAATCTCTCTCCCCACACCAGTTTGGCTCTTCTCTGCCCTGGTGCTAGAGGGATACGTGAATTGTTAAAACGTTGATTTTCAAGTGATTTGGAATCTACAGAAGAGTGGCAGAGGTGGAACAGAGTTTCCAGGTGTCCTTCATCCAGCTTCCTTTCATGTTGATACCTGATGCGCCCATGGTGTATTTGTTGAAACCAGGAAATTAGCATTGGCATAATACTATTAGCTACAGAATTTGTCTGGATTTCTCAGTTTTCTACTAATGTCTGCTCGGTGTGCCAGGCTCCAATCCACAATTCTACACTGCATTTAGTTTTTCTTTTTGTTTTTTAGGTTTATTTATTTGGAGAGAGAGCAAGTGGGGAGGGGCAGAGAGAGAGGGAGGGAGAGAGAGAGAGAGAGAGAGAGAGAGAGAGAGAGAGAGAGAATCCCAAGCCAGTTCCACACCGTCAGGGCAGAGACCCACGTGGGGCTTGAAACGTGAGATCATGACCTGAGCCAAAGTCAGATGCTTAACCGACTGAGCCACCCAGGCACCCCAATACTACATTGCATTTAGCAGTGGATTGTGTTCTAATGCAAATGAGCAGGACCCCATACGAGAGACCCCTTCCTTGGCCTGCCAGCCTCGGAGGCCTGTGTCAAATTCTCTACAAGGCCTGTGGGGCTGCATGTTTCCTCCGCCCGGTCTTATCCAGTTCCAGGGCTTTGAGTAGGAGCCACTGGGCTTTCCTGAAGTTTCTTGAGGCCATCTAGTTCGCCTCCTTGGCCTTTACTCATCTGCACCAATGCTCTTCATCTTCCTTTCGGCCGGCCACTTATTTCTCATGGCTCAGTTTACATGTGTCATTTCCCCAGAATGGTCCACTCTACCCTTTAGACCAGGCGAGTCCCCTTTTATATGTTCTCACAGCTCCCTCGCATGCTTGTAACCCTTCAGCAAGTGTTTATAAACGTGATTCTTTCCCCACTGGGCTCTCAGCCTCTCCAGGGCAGACCTTGTGGGTCTCGTCTGCTCTATCCCTAGCATCCGGAATGTGCCTGCCACTTGGTCCGCACTCAGCGAAAACGTGTTGCTTGACTAACTCACACCCTGTGCCACTTGCTAGCAGTTGCTTCTCCTTTCTGGGCTTCAGTTGTCTTCTCTGCAGCCCGAGGAATAGAATTTGTTCAGTGGTTTTCCAATTGCGCTTTGAAAGCCCTACATTTTCCTGGGTTCCCCACTTCCTGCTTCAATTAGGAGCCATGTTTAAAGAGCACCTTGTTTTACGCTCTTTAAACACGGGGCTTTTTGAGGAAGTTTCTTCCTAATGGATTCTGCTGCTTAAAACGTTTGACCCCCCCAACCCGACATATTATTGCATCATGTATTCTGTATCACATAGACGGTTGACTCTTGAACAACGCAGAGGTTAGGGGCACCAGCTTCCCGCACAGTTGAAAATCTGCATATGACTTTTGACTTCTCTCAAACTTAACTACTAACAGCCTACTGCTAAGACCGGAAGGCTTATTAATAACATAAGCAGTCGGTTAACACATTTTGTATATTCTACGTATCATATACTGTATTCTTACGATAAAGTGAACTAGGGGAATGAAAGTGTTATTAAGAAAATCATGGGGCGCCTGGGTGGCTCCGTCGGTTAAGCGTCAGTCAGTTGGCTCAGGTCACGATCTCACGGTTCGTGGGTTTGAGCCCCGCATTGGGATCTGTGCTGACAGCTCGGAGCCTGCAGCCTGCTTCGGATTCTGTGTCTCCTTCTCTCTCTGCCCCTCCCCTGCTCACGCTCTGTCTCTCTCTCTCTCTCAAAAAGAAAAAAAGAAAAAGAAAAAAATCGTAAGGAAGAGGAAATACATTTGTAGCACTGGACTGT